ACAAACAGGATTAGTGCACGTGATCGTATCCTGACTTTTTCTTGAATTCAACTCTGAATGTTAAAGCTTCAGAAAAAGGAAACAACTTCATTGAACAGCATCAGAGATCTCATCGAAGAGACAACCGTACTTATATGTTCACTGATTTTCAGTTTTTTAAACTAAATCATCTCACACTGATAAAGAAATGAGCAGAAACTAAACGTATTAATCATGAAGCCTTTACTATTATTATTCATATTCTCAGCTCCAACCAAGCGGAGCTGTAAAAAGTTTTCTTTTAACTTTTCAGTGAGAAGTTCTGGAGCCTCTGTGGCGTTTGTCTGCTTCTGTTTTTAATCTTTGCGTCAGTGAAGCCAAAGAGTTTCGATCATGTTCCTCCCACCTGGAGTGAAACTACCTCAGGAGCATCTGTGCAGGACGTCTCCTGCTCTAAGCTGCAGACCGCCTCAGCAACGAATCCGCGTGTTTATGTTTGTCTTTGGGATTAGGCCTTTAACCCGATCACACCATCATAATGGACTTTAGGAGAACGCCAAGTGGAGTTGATGGGATCATTCTTGTTTTGTTTCCAAGGTCGACGTCAGGTTGAAGCTCTGGAGAAGCTCCGCTACGTCTCCTCTTCTTCTTCTACAGTGAGAACAGGACGCTCGTCTCTCACGGGAAAATAGAAGTAAATGTTGTAGAAGCTGCACTAGAGAATTTCTGTGTCTGCTTTTAAACTGTTAATTCCTGCTCAGATAGAGAACAGGTGAAGATTCCTGCTCTCTGATGATCTGTAGAAGACTCTGGATCATTTCCCCCCCCCCCTTCATCTGCAGGTCTTATTATAAAACCCCACACAGAGGCTGCTCCATGAGCCCAAACTCCGCTCTCAAACATCAAAAGTCAGAGATGAGCACAAACACGGAGAAGAGCCTCGGTGCCGCCGGGTGTCCGTCATTAGATTACGTTAAAAAAATAATAGTGGAACACGTCAACACGTAATTAATGTCGCACACAGATTCACCAAGATCCGGGCTTTACTTCATGACGACTGTGGATGTGTGTAATCACATTTTTATTATGAGTCACTATGTATTTTAGCATCTTCACAGTTACACAACGGAACAAGTGGAATGAATCTAATTATAAGAGACGCATAAATAAAAGTATTAATTTTTACTTAGTTAAATCTAAAACTGTATAAATCAGAAAGAACAAAAGAAGGGACAGAAGACAGAAAGACAGAGATCCCATAATCCCCATCGATGCATTGATATAATTTGACATGTGACCTTGTGTGTGTGTGTGTGTGTGTTAATCCAGACAGAGAGTGAGGGATTAGAGCAGAGAGGAAAACAATCACTTGATACTCAGTCTGTTGGCTCCACACTGGACTGGAAAATAAAAACTGTTGAACTGAACTGAACTTTGTCTTTATAGCGTTTTATTTTATTTTTCTGAATGAAATGAGGTGAGTTGGCGGATTTAAGGTTCTTGAAAATGTTTCACATCTCATCAATAGTTCACCTGAAAATGAAAATCCATCTCTAGAAATGTTTTGTGTCTCTGACGAGGAACGCGCACACACACACACACACACACACACACACACA